GTAACGATTTTAATGAATCTACCGAAAATTCAAAAAGAAACGAGTGAAGAGTTTATTAAATTACAGTCCACTGTCTCAAACTGTCTATCAGTCTTATCCACTCAAAATATTCCCACAGATAACTGGGACCCTATTCTGGTAAATATTTGCGCCGCAACTTTACCAGAAAAATCGTTACTTTTATGGGAGCAATCGCTCTCATCCCGTAAAAAATGCCCGACGTGGCAACAAATGAAAGATTTTCTAACTACCCAGTACGAAATCGCAGAGAGGGTAGATACGAAAATTACAAAAGCCAAAAATACACAAAATGATCTACATAGAAGCTTCATGAAACCCCAAGCCAGCAATCAGAATTCACATAATAGAAGCTTCAATAGATCGCAAACATTTATGAACGAAAATAGACATACGCCATGCGAATTTTGTAAAGGAGGTCACCCATTAAGATCTTGCGAGAAGTTTAAAAAACTTACGACGACCGAAAGATATAATGTCGTCAGAAACAATAGGCTTTGCACAAATTGCTTCTCACACTCTCACACGCAAAAAGACTGTGAGAGTAAATTTAATTGTGTATATTACCAAAAGTGGCACCACTCGATGCTCCATATTAATAATTTTACCCCCCAAAATAGCTGTAACTCTCAAAGAGCCACAGGGCTAGTTGCAACAGCTAGACCCGAAAACCCCGAAAATCTCGAAATCCAAGCCGAGAAACCATGCTGTTCAAAAACAGCAAAAATACAAGCGCTTCATTCTGAAAATCAAAGCAAAATTTTACTGCCAACCGCGATTGTCTTGATGGAACATCGAGGAGAATTATTTAAGCTTAGAGCTCTAATCGATCAAGGCTCACAAAGATCGTTTATCTCATCAAAAGCACAAAACCGATTAAAACTCCCTACCACAAACTCAAACTTTGAAATTTCGGGAATGGGTGGAAGAGTAATACAAAACTCTAATAAAATCTGCTCATTAACCCTGATTTCCTCCAATGCGGATGTAAGAATAAAAGCACAAGCTATAGTTCTGTCGTAACTAACAAATATGCTTCCAAGCTATAAAATAAACGACAAAGATCGTCAAAAATTTGCCCACCTCAAATTAGCCACACCCCGCGCAAGTTGATATCCTATTAGGCAGCGACCTAATACCCCAAATAATGCTGGAAGGCATTGAAAAAATTTCAAATACCCTGTTAGCCCAAAATACCATCTTTGGATGGATACTAAGCGGCCAAGTAAGTGAAAAAATATCGGTATTCACAACTCAAGTTGAAGATATTTCAAACGAATACCTCAATTCTCAATTAAAAAGATTTTTGGAGTTAGAAGAACTCCCCCCCCATACAAGTCACTACCCCAGAAGATAAAGCTTGCGAAGATTACTACAAAGCCACAACAACGCGAGCACAAACTGGTCGATATGTAGTACGACTTCCATTTAAGCCAGAATTCCCAGACACACTCGCCCTAGGTCGCTCCCGAACCTCTGCGCTTCAGCAGTTTTTAAGTATGGAAAAAACCTACTTAAAAAAGGCGAGCTTAAATCAGCATACGATGGTGTCCTGGAAGAATATCTCGATTTAGATCATATGGAAAAAGTAAATCCATATGAGAACATAACCAAAGGTAAATACACCTCATTTTACCTACCCCATCATGCGGTTGTAAAACCAGACAAAAAAACAACCAAGGTAAGAGTAGTCTTCAACGCCTCGAAATGTACAAGTTCGGGCAATTCCTTAAATGACATTTTGTACACAGGACCCACATTACAACCCGATTTAATGCTTCTGATTTTAAAGTGGCATATGTTCAAATACGTATATAACCAAGACGTCGAAAAAATGTATCGACAAATACTCGTACATAAAGACGATCAAGACTTTCAGCGCATTATATTTCGAAATTCTCCAAATAGTCCAATATGTGACTATAAACTCAAAACGGTGACATTTGGCGTAAATTGCGCCCCCTTTCTTGCCATTCGAACACTTCACGAATTGGCAAACGATATAAAAGAAAAATTTCCCCTAGCAACCCCTGTGTTAAAAACACAAACATATGTGGATGATATCCTGTCTGGAAGCCACAGCTTACCAAAAGCGTATGAAGCACTATCACAAGTGATACAAGCCCTCAACTCAGCAGGGTTCCCCCTAAAAAAGATAACCGCCAATCACCCCGAAATCCTAAAAGATATAAATAAAGAAAATTTATTAGATTCAAACTTCCTAATATTCGAAAAGGAAAGTACAACAAAAACCCTAGGCATACAATGGAATGCGATCTCAGATAAATTCTCATATACTCTTGAGTCGATATCTGCTCAATCCGCAATAACTAAAAGACCAATTCTGTCGGTTGTAGCGAAACTTTTTGACCCCGCAGGACGGCTTTCGCCAATTATGATAGAAGCGAAAATCCTGATACAAGAATTATGGCTAGACGGAACCGAATGGGACGAGCAAGTGAAACCACTTTGCTTGGTAAAATGGTCCCAATTTGCTAACAACTTGCACGCCATTGCAGAGATACAAATCCCTAGATGGGTAAATTACTCCCCCGAAAACCAAGTAGAACTGCATGGCTTTTGCGACGCCTCTGAAAAGGCATATTGCGCAACTATATATGTGCGCACCCAAATTAACAGCACAATTTCAAGCCATTTGTTAGTAGCAAAGGCCAAAGTGGCACCTCTCAAAACACTAAGTCTACCACGACTTGAACTGTGTGGCGCGCTTCTACTCGCAAAATTAGCCTCAACTGTGCAAACGCATTTAAACATGACCAATCAGAAATTATATCTATGGTCAGACTCAGAGATCGTCTTAGCTTGGTTAGAAAAACCACCCCACTCATGGAAAACATACGTTTTCAATCGCACAGCCGAAATACTTGATTTAGTTGGGCCAGCAACTTGGCGACATGTAGCCAGTGCTGATAACCCCGCCGATCTTGGCACATGAGGTTGCAAACCCCTACACCTCGCCACCACCTCACTCTGGTGGAACGGCCCCAGCTGGCTAATAGAATCACAACAATTCTGGCCACAATCCTCCATACGCAACATAATTGCCCCAGAAAGTCGAAAAGTTGAAACCTTTCACACAATATTGGATGGCACTGACATCCTAGAACGATTTTCCTCGTCCCCCCGTGCCCTAAGGGTAGTCGCCTATATGTTCAAATTCGTAGAGCGCCTCAAAAATAAGGTGAAGAAAACACCGAATTCTCCAGATAACATGTTAAAGCATCAAGACCTACAAAAAGCAAAGGTTTCCCTTGTTGTATACACTCATATGCGCTATTTTAGCCGCGAAATGTTAATGCTAAGAGAATCAAAACCAATTGGCAAAAAGAGTCAAATCTTAGTACACAATCCATTTTTAGACACGAAAGGTCTGCTTCTGGCTAATGGCCGGCTAGGGAACTCCAGCCTCACCTATAACGAACGCCCCATAATAAAACCAGAGAAAACCCCCTTTGCAACACTATACCTGAGATTTCTCCACTTATTAATGCTACATGCCGAATATCGCCTCATGCAACAAATAGTCCGACAAGAATTTTATATTCCACGACTAAAGCCACAAATCAAAAAATGGATATTTATGTGTAAAGTCTGCACAATACATAAGCAGAAGATGCGCACGCAGATCATGGCAGCTCTTCCACCTGAACGCTGCACTTTCGCTCTGCCGTTCACTACCACTGGTGTTGACTTTGCTGGGCCTTTCCAGATAAAGGTTTCCATGTTAAGGACTTCAACCTATACGAAGGGTTATGTGGCGGTCTTTGTATGCTTTACGACAAAGGCAGTACACCTCGAGCTATGTTCTGATCTGACAACTGCGGCTTTTTTTAGCGGCATTTGCTCGCTTCGTCGGACGGCGAGGATTTCCATCCAAAATAATGAGCGACAATGGAAAAACCTTTGCCGGAGCCAAAAGAGCCACTGAAAAACAATTTATAAAATTTATAGAGGAAGTCTCGCCTGAAATCGTCAAAAAATACGCACCCCAAGGCATTGATTGGCAATTTATCCCACCAAGTGCCCCACATATGGGTGGTCTATGGGAATCAGCTGTAAAAAGCTTCAAAACACATTTTAAAAAAGTCGCTGGCACCCACAAATTTAACTTTGAAGAATTTACTACATTATTAACCCGAATAGAAGCCGTTCTTAACTCACGGCCCCTCCCTGCGCTCTCGCAAGATCCCTCCGATTTCACTGCCCTCACCCCTGATCATTTTCTTAGAGGAGCTCCACTTCTGGCAATACCAGAACCAGACGAGCAATCCTTATCTTTAATGAATCGATGGGAACGAATGAAAATTCTCCATCACGAATTTAGCCGTCGATGGAAGGGAGAATATCTAAAAGACCTCCATAAAAGATACCGATGGAAAAACGCTCAAGAAGCGCCAAAGATTGGAGACTGTGTCCTAATTCATGACGAATGTCTTCCCCCTACAGAATGTCGACTCGGCCGTATAGACAAGATATATCATGGCTCCGACGGCCATATCCGCGTAGTTGATCTCCGTACACAAAGCGGCATACTCACTCGACCGCTCGTCAAGCTATGTTTCCTTCCAACCGCCTCTCCTACCGATTACGCGAATACCGATACCTAAAATCATCAAACCGCAATAAACGTAACAAAAACCGAGAATATCAAAAGTGCCTTAATCCGGACCCTCGAACTCATACCAAGGGGCTTACGCCTAGCAATCATATTCATAACTGCTTACACCTCNTCGACCGCTCGTCAAGCTATGTTTCCTTCCAACCGCCTCTCCTACCGATTACGCGAATACCGATACCTAAAATCATCAAACCGCAATAAACGTAACAAAAACCGAGAATATCAAAAGTGCCTTAATCCGGACCCTCGAACTCATACCAAGGGGCTTACGCCTAGCAATCATATTCATAACTGCTTACACCTCTGCTATACTAAAGTCCGTTCTCCCCTAATGTAGGTAAACATGGACGTGGAAATGCATGAAGCCGCACCAACTCCAACTCTCCGTTCGGCAATCACCGTGCCCCGCTCGGCAGCACTGCCAGTAGCAGCTCCGTGTTCTGCTGCGCCACGTACCGCAACAGCCCCGGCCGCAGCGCCACGCAACGTCACGCCTTGTCCCGCCGCCGCTCCGATGGCACCACCCCGTGCTGAGCTTCCACAAAAGAGCCCATCAGAAATGCAAAGCGTACGATGCCCGCTATGTAGGCGCCCACACAATCTGCGCCTATGCTCCATATTTAGGAGTATGCAGCCGCCGCAGCGCCAGCAAGTCGCGCAAGCGCATGGGTGCTGCCTCAATTGCTTGGCGCTATCCCACGAAACGAGGGAATGCGACTCCCCCATCAGGTGGCAACTATGCGACAGACCGCATCACACCGCATGTTCGGACGTCCGATGATCGAGACGCCAGTGCCACGCAACCATGGGCGGCGAAGACCGCACGACAGCAGTACAGCAAAATCGCGGCGACCACCAGTACAGCAGGGTCACCGCACTTGGAACCATCCTGGGGCTCGATATCGCGCTGCAGCGGTCACACATAGCCGGCACCAGCCTACGCAACGCCCCCGTCGTGCAACCGCAATCAGCAACGTAGTGGATACCCTGCAGCAACTACTAGGTTGAAGACTCGCCTAGGGGGGCCGGAATGGCTAAATGAGTTCGGCCGTTCCCCCGTTTTCGACCGTGAATGGCTCCGTGGAAAGCAGCAACCCTGCCTAATCGCCTACTCACCACGGCCCGTTCCACCCACGTACACATAATACACGTACACGCACACATATACACATGAATTGTACTTACACATACATACACACATGAATTACGACATAACATGAAACAAAACACCAAAAGGTTCTACGTGTTCATTTTAAAAAAAGGTTCGAAGCTAGTGGTGAGTGTGCCCCCCAAAGTCTTTGCCCTTGGTGTACGATTGTTCAGCAATGTTGCCACTTTTTCTCACTAAACCATGTTCAAATCGTGAAATTTTGGAAGATCACTGGGTTGCTTTTAACATTTAGATTCTTAATTAGGGCTGCCAGATATCTCTGTTGCCAAACCGGGACACTTTAGGGAGGGCCTCTCGCTTCCTTCCCTTTCATTTCGACGTGCGAAAGGATGTAGCGAAATTTTATTTTGACAGACAAAAACAAAAACATAAAAACATGAGATCATGAGATCATTACAACGTACGCCAACAAAACAAAACAACTTATTACAACTAAAGCACAGAGAATTTTTTACAATGCATGAACCTTTTTTATTCTTAATACAAATACAGTTTATACTAACCATATGAAAAAACATAAAAATAGAATTGTTAAACTTTGTGCTAAACTTGGGAAAATTCAACAAATTTGCATACAAATTTGCAACATTCTAATTAGACTTTTTTTAAAAATTTTTAAAATGAAGTTTTGCAGCCCATTAAATTTTAGTTGATTTTTGGTATTCTTTTTAATGAGAGTTTCTTCCATACAAACTATTTTCCATAATTTTTTTTATGTGGAAGACACTGTCAGCAAAAACTATAAATGCTAAACATCAACGAAATTTGCTGGCAACTTCGAAATTGCACTTTATTAATTGGCTCAAAAGCTACATTTTCAAAATTTTTCTAAAAGATCTGATTAGAAATGGTGATCTGATGAAAGAGCCTCTGAGCCAATAATTTTTAACGGCACTGTACTTATAAGTACCCTAGGTTTCATGAAAGAAAAAAATTTAAGTACAAGATAACATTAAAACATCAGTAATATTTTTCGTTGCTGTGAACTTGTTTCAAAACTTCTGTATTTTCCTTAATAAAATTGTATAACTCTGTGCACGTCATTTTGAACGTATTTAGGTTCATATACTGATCATCAACTATTGCTTGTGCAAAGTTCATCTCGAAATGTAACTATTTCACAAATTAAACCGGTGCACTGAGAGAAAGAAGTTTATAATTAAAAAAGCGTGATAAATTAAAAAAATACGCACATGAAAGAGCACCAACGCAACTCGTAATACATTTAAGTATACAAATTTTAGTATTTAGTATAGAAATATTCAATTCAAATAGGCCCAAATTAAAATGAAGCGACTTGCAATTATCGATTGCTTTTTCATAATTAAGTTAAAAAAAACATTTAAATTCCATGCTGGTTGTAATGGGAATTGAACCCTGACCCTCTGGAAATTAGCAAATTTTGGCATTCATCCTGGCGCACTCAGCTACGGCCAGACATGTAAATGTGCATTTAAATGTTGAGTTTGAATCAACACCACGCGTGCGTGTTATGAAAGTATTATTTTTAAATACGAACATTTTTAAACGATAATCAAATAGGATGACAGGTAATAAGGTCAATGGAAATAAGGTCAATTGACTTTATTTTCCACCCTGGTGCGAAATAAAGTCAATTGACATTATTACCTTTTCAAAAGCGAAATAAAGTCAACAAAAATTTGGAAATAAAGTCATTGACGCTAATTCCTCATTCAAATGGAAATAGCATCAACAATGCTTAAAGTATGTCGATT